GAGTGACTGTCCTGTGTAAGGCCATCTTGGATGTGGGGGTAAACGGACCAAGGTCCCATCGGGCCAGGTGTGATGGTGTCCTTGAGGCTTGCCTGGTGGCAGAGGGAGTCACAGATAATTTTTAATGAAGACAAAAACTGATAGGCCATGAGTGGACGCAAAGGCCCAGCTTGGAGGAAGGGAYAGGCCCTTTGAGGAGTGAACCCAAGAACGGCCCGTCAGCTTGGGGTCCTGGTTGACACCTGTCTGGCCTCCCCACCTCTCGAGGGTTCTGAAGATGCCCAGTGCTGCCATGAAGCTTTTCTTCCTCGCATGACCCCATTGTCTAAGTGAGGTTTAGGGCAGTCCCAGTTCTCATTTCCTCTGCAGCGGCTGCCACATGAACTCCAGTTGGGCTGAGTAGAAGCCCACACCRCAGACATCTCGGGGGTAGTGCCAGCAGCAGGTGGGCACCCCGTCTGTCCTCAGCCCCAGCCTGCCCGGCCTGACCTGGCCTGGGGCAGATCAGTAGCTGGAGCTCTCTGAGCCATGGCTAGCTCCACACCACCTAGTGGCTGCACAGAGTCCCCGTGTGAGAGTGTCGGGAGGGATGAATGTGCGATGTGTCAGCAGATACTTGCTGAGATTCTTCATTCACAAAAGCGTACACCAGTTCTCTCTCAGTGGCCCAAGGTTGCATGCCATCTGTAAATCCCTTTCTGTGGATGGTGACAGCCAGATTGGAAGTGGGTAGGAGGATCTGGAAAGACTGTGGGTTTCAGAATAGCACTCTGGTTCTCGTGGAACTTCTGAAGTGTTTTCTAAGAAAGGCAAAGAAGGAGAATCCCATTCCCGGAACACAGTGAAAACCTAAACCTGGCGGCTTCCTACAGGATAACAAGGGAGCTTTACAGGATGGTCCAGTTGGAGGGGGCAGATGAGGAAACTGGAGCTAGGGGTCCTTCTGGAAAATGGCCGTCGTCAGTGGATGAATCTAGGAAAGAACGCAGGACATACCAAGGTCCTCTGGGGCTTGCACAGGAGGCTCAGCCCCATGAAAATGGCAAGAAGTGCTTCTGTCCTCTGGCCTTCCCTCCATGCACCTGTCAGAAGGCACAAAGTCATTCAGATGGAAGGGGTGGCGCTCCTATTTCCTCTGACTTAGTTGGGGTTCTCTGGGAAGCAGAACCTGAAGAGGCTTCGAGCGTATCTAATTTATTTGGGAAATGATCTCAGCAGACGTGGGGAAGGGAGACAGTAAGGTGGCATTGTCAAGTTCCCATGATTGTGGACACTGGGACATCACCCCTGGGAGGCCTGGGGGACACCACAGAAGCAGCCCAGTGGAGGGGACAGAGGTGGAAAGTGGGCCTTTATTCACCAAGCYCATCATTGGTGGAAGGCTGTTTTTCGGGCCAGTTTCTGATCATCCCCGAGTACACCTGAGCACACTTTGCCATCTAGGAAGTCCTTGGGCAGAGACAGATGTTCTTAGTAAACAAACTTGGCATGAAAGGCAGGCATTGGAACCACCTGAACTTGCTGGTTCACCCACAAATTACCACATTCTGCAGCCTGCGTCCATCCCTGACTCAGTGGATCGGGACTGAGGCCYGAGCCTTTGCATTTCCAACACACAAGGTGATATTGGTGCAGCTGATTGTCTTTGAGAGTTTTTGTCATTTATTGGTGGCTTCCCCCCACCCTCTGTTTTATGATGAAGTCTTCATACCCCCCTTTGTGTCGTAGTTCCCAGGGTCCATGCTGTGAATTCAAAAGCAGAGGATTCATAAGCACTTATAAACTCCTCGCCACCATTGCTGGTAGATAAAAACGCCATCTGCTAGCCACGAYTTATTTATAATGGGGTTTACACATATTTATAAAGTTTGCAAGCAACAAATGCACAGTTTTAAAACTGGCATCTTTTATAGCAGTCAGAAAAATTGCAACTTTATACCAGGACCTGTGAATGTGAATTGCACATGTATATTCACGTGTATACATAGATACTTGTGCTGATTTAAAMAGATATGCCTTTGTGTGTGCCTGTGTGTGTGCATGTGTACCTGCATGCAGGTGGGTTCTCTGCTGAGCACCATCAGATTTCTCCCTGGGGTTTGTAACTAATAGACAACTTTGGTGGGAACCTAGCACACAAGGAGCAGGAACAAAACACAGGACAGTGGGGTGGGAGGATGCCACTATGGACCATGAAAGAGGGACAAGAGGGAAKAGAAGACAGTGAGGGAAGCCTGAGGAGGGAGATGGCAGAAGTAGGATGAAAGGAAAGAGGAGAGGGAAGGCCAAGCAAGGGCAGACTCACAGGGCTCCCTGGGGTGCCACCAGAGGCTGTCCCCCTGGCTGCAGCTGCATTTGATGGGCACAACCCCTTTTGTAAGCAGTCTTCTCACCCTCATCGGTGCATGAATTCCTAGGTGGCAGGCCCTGCACTGGGCTTGTGGAATAGAGAAGGAAATATACAGGGTTTCTGCCTGAGTTTCTAATCCAGTGGGAAATCAGCATGGGTACCCACGTGCACACACGTGCACACATGTACACACACACACAGGAGGGTGTTGGAGTGTGACCAGCCTTGCAATACTGGTGCATCCAAGTTCAACAGGACCTGGTCAGTCTGGGGCTCTGGGAAGGCTTGGCCCATTGGGCATTGACATGGAATGTCAGAAGACACTTGCAACCGTGTTGGAAGGCAGGAGAGAAGAGAGGCTCAGGACTCCCTGGTGCAGGTGAGACACTGGCATCAGAAGGATGGGAGGGGAGGGGAGAGGCTCCTAGTCTCCCTTCTTTCTTCCTCACAGTGATCTCAGATGCCCTGAATAAATGAATCCCGGACGTAAAATGCATAGGTGTTTCCCCAGGGCCTGGAGAAAGATTTTCACAGAAAAAAAAAAACCACAGGAAATGAAACAATCCTGTGTTCAAGTATCTATTTGGTTGTCTCACCTTGGACTGTTGTAGATAGAAAAATACACACTGGGGAGCAAGACCAGTCGCTCTGAGCTTTTGAGGTTATGAATCCACACACAAGTAGACATTTTTTTACTGCAGCCAAAATCTCTTAACCACTGAAATCAAGCAGCCATTAACCAAGCAGAAATGAATGGACAAATCCATCTCTGAACAATGAGTTACATTTTTTTTTTTTTTTGGTAACAACTATGTGTGAGTTGCAAGTGGAATGTTCTGTTCATTTGACTTTTGACTGTAACTTGTTCCCGAATATTGTGAAATTCAGTATGTGAATGTCTCTTTGTATTCAGAATTAAAACATTTGGTGTTTAAATCCCAGGGTTAGGAGACGATGCCATGTAAATTTTAATGTGTAATTATAAGATACTTATTACTTTTWAAAAAGCATTTGGCTGGCAAATTATACATATTGATAAGTGAGTGATTATTTGAAAAATTTGTTTCCATTAACTTTTGTGAAGCAAAAAGATATGATTGTCTGGTTGTGTGGCCAATTTGCCCTTCCGGCTCTGAGTTTGGAAAGGAATTGGCTTCTCCAACATCCCTGAGGAGCAGAAATACAAAACTAAAAGTTTTCTAATCTTTCTTCTCTGAAAAAACCATAAAGCCTAAGTTAATTGGCTGTTTTGGAGATCTGACAATTAACAGGCAACGATAATTGTCTKAGGTTCCCTCCTCACCTTCAAGGAATCCAATTAACTTCTTCAGGAAACGATGCKGTTTCCAGTTAGACTCCATCACCACGCACGCGTCTGTCGCTTGCCTGTGCTTCTGGGCTCGCCAGGCGTAGGATATGGCGCAGCAGCCTGGGTATCATCACTATGACCCCAGAGTGCAAGGTGATACACCTCATTCAGGCGGCGCTGCACTTCTCGTTATCGTTGGTTATCAGAAAACGTGCCTTTCTTATGGGGATAGTGGTATGTGCATTTCTGATTACACAGCAACCCCTTTGAATATTTGACTTAGATACTAAAAACATTTGGGCATCGAGGTTTTGCACTTGTAGATACAATTTAAAAGCATGGAACTGCCAATGTAATTAGACGTTTTCTATACAATGCACCTTGTTACATTTCTGTGAAAGGCTTGTAACCAGCGCAGAGTAACTATGGCTGAAGGGTTGAGCGAAACAACCACTTCTTAAAACAGTTCATTGTTTCAATGACTATCAGTGTAAGTCCGCTGGCAATAAAGGCTATTGCGAAAAGTCTCTTTCATTTGGATGATGGATCTTGTACTGTAAAAGAGAGGAGGGCAACTTGGAACTTTTTTTCTTTTTTCCCCTAGAAAGTAGTACTCTCGGTTATTCCCCCTGGGAAGGAAAAACGGTGGCTAGGCAGAAGCCATTCTCGGAGGTTTATGTTAATTTTGCAATTTAGTGCCTAGTTTGCCTTGGACAGAACTGAAGGAGGACAGATTGCCGGAGGGCTCCAGTCCTTAGTTGTGTAGGGGCACGACATTGTAAGTTGTAACAAGCATCACCACCAGAACACTTAGGTTCAATACCAGCTTCTCTTTCCATGGGACAGAAGGGAGAGGCTGAGCCTTACCATTTGTAGTGGAGATTCTGAACTACCCACTGCCTTTGCTTAAATAACAGCCAACCGAGCAGAAAGAAACTTCCCATCTCTCTGGGCTGGTCTTTATTGCAATGGGCCTTACAATCTCCTTCCCATCCAAAGAGCCCCCTGTGACGCTTCCTCAACGCAGAAGAATCTGCCGGAATTGGTGCACACAGCATCCRGTCCACCAAAGCTTCAATGAATAATGAGAATGGGCAAGTCTAGGGGGAAGCGGTGATCTGGGGTTCTAAGTGTTGTTTATCCCCAAGTTGCTGAGAAGCACAGGTACCAATGAGCAGCAGCCCAATCCCCGCACACCCCGAGGGGTGGCCCCGGTGAAAACAAGAAAACAATCCCGCCACTCGGGCTCCCCAAAACTGGTTTACGTGGGGCCTTTTGGTTTTATTTATTTATTTAYTTATGTTAACAAACATACATTGGAAATAGTAAAGGTTACTAACTGCAAGGAGATCTAACACAGATTCTCTGTGGCATATAAGATCACCCTATTTCCAAACTTCAGGGCTACGACTTGGACACACTCAACTTCTAGTGAGGAAGTTGGTTAGCTTGTTAGGAATGTGCATATGGATATTGAAGGTGGTTGGTTTTTTGCATATATCAAATGAGCATAATTACTTTCTTAGTGTATTTTTAAATTCAGATGGCTTAAAAGTTTTTGCATCATCTCCAAGAAGCCTGTAGAGTGCCTCTTGGAGGGAGTGACGGATGTGGCCCCCGAAGAGGGTCGATGAATGAAAGCTGACCTGTGCAGATACTAGAGAAGTCACGGTTATGGACCAAAGTGTGACCGTAAGACACAGCATACTGACAGAGAGACCCAAGGCCCCCAAAGCAACTCCACAAATTTCATTTCCTATGTGAAAATGCATTTTGTCTCCCTTATACATTTCTATTGTTCTTGTTCTTAATCCAGAACCTTCAATAAAGCTTTCCTAGAAATGCCCTGGCTTTTCTCATGCTATCTGATAACCAAATAAGCTATTTTTCAGTGATGTGGAGTCTGCAACAGTAGAGGCCTCGTGGAGCATTTCCTCACCAATATCTCAACAGGAACAAAAAAAAAAAAACGAGGAAGGTCTTTGGTCAGTATGTACAGGTTACCCAGGACCCACGGAAAGCTTCCTTGATAAGAGCAACTTGCCAGGAAGGAATTTCTCTAACAAAGAGTCATTCATGAGTTGAGATTGCTCTCTTAGATATCAATAAGGCAAAATTCTCACTAACCCTAAAAAAGAAAAAAAACCCAGTAGGGGGCGCTGACGTGAAGTTACCCCAAGGGAGAAGCCTTCTGAAGGTGGCAAGAGCACAGAGAGTGTGTATCGATGCCAGCCCTACACACAGACTCATTTTCCTTCTGTGTATACTGTATGTACGATCCTTGGGGAAGAACACGAACAAGGATGCTTCTTAGTAATTCTTTTAAAAGGTAAACACAGTGATATAGGTTCAACTGGTGTTGAAAAATAAAATTACAGTATCATGTCGGTATTATAATGCATCTCTCTGAAGCCTGAATGAGTTGTCAGATTGCATTTTCTAACCTGACAATTAAGCTGCTCTAACAGTCGGGATCCGTGTCTGCTTTCAGGAAACTGATTTTGCTGACGGTCCCAGCTACTCGTGGGTGACAGCTCTGGGAGATGACGGACTCTGTACTTTTCCAGTGCAGAATCCAAACTTGACCTAGAACCAGAGTTCTGTCTTCTAACCCTCTCCTTCCGATGGAAACTCCCCCGTTGCAGGAAGCATACCACAGCCCCCGGTGACTTGGTGAGGCCCACCAGGATGGAGGGCAAACCCTGCCCCTCCCTCGTGGGCTGTTTCTTTGGTTAGTTGGGGAGCCCGGGCTCTTGGGAGATCCTGGCTGTGATTTGCACAAGTCCACCTCCCCCCAGATTAAGTGCTCTCTCACTTTTGGATGTGTTTAAAGTTCTCCAGGAACACMTGACAGAGGGACACAGGGCTAGTCAGACCCACACATCTGGGGCTGGCCTGGGAGAAGCCTTATTTGGGGAATTTAGGCCTTAACATTTTTCTTACCATGAGGCTTCCCAGCAATGTAAAGAGGCCCACCTCATTCACACCCAGGTCCTTGTACCTGGTGCTGCAGTMGGAACACGTTTGCAGGACTGGTTTCCTAACTGGGCGGGGTACTGAGACTTTTAGGTCAGCACCACGCGGCCAACGCCTGGAACGTGAATTCCATGCAACACAGAAAGGGACAGATACACAAGCACCCATTCAGTGTAGTGTGGAGTTACGAAAACGTCATCCAGAGGCACGCTGAGAAACACCCTGTGCATCACGTAGCCCTCCCCCCCGACCTGCCCTCTTTGTGAACAACGGATCAAGGCATCCAGAGTTCAGTAGAAGGCCGTGGATGACGTCAGCAGCTTCACAGTTCGGTGCCCGACACAGACAAAGCACGCTGTCTATGGAAATGGTTTGGTGATTCCTGGCGTCCCCTCCTCAGGAGACGGCCCCCGGGGCAGGTTATCAGGCAACATCAAGTAGATCTCCTGAGTCTCAGCTCTTTAAGGGTCCCCGTGGAAGCGACACATGCAATAAATAAGAGCTTGGCTGCAGAGCTGGGCGCGCGGAGATGTCACTTGCAGAGGATCCCGTTCTGGAGTGTTCTGTTTCCGTCGATGATGCAGGGTGTGGCGGCTGGGTGGGGCAGGCCATCCTTGATCTTTGGGGAGTGGCTGCTGTTGTTGCTGGTGCTGGATTGGCTTCTGCTTGGGTCCAGAGCCGGCTGCATGGGCGAGGCGCGGGCCCCCTTGCCCCTGACCAGGCAGTTGCAGACCAGACGGAAAAAGGCGCGCCGCATCTCCTTGCTGGCCAGCGTGTAGATGATGGGGTTCATGGCGGAGTTGAGGACCGCCAGCATGATGAACCACTGGTCCTTGAACAGGATGGAGCACTCCCTGGCCCTGCAGGCCACATCTACGAGGAAGAGGATGAAGAGGGGCGACCAGCAGGCGATGAACACGCTCACCACGATCACCACCGTTCGCAGCAGGGCCATGGACCGCTCCGAGTTGTTGTGACTGGCCACCTTGCGGCTGCTGGACTTGACCAGGAAGTAGATACGTGCGTACAGGATGACGATGGTCACCAGGATGGCGATGAAGATGCTGATGCAGAAGGCGATGTACTTCTTGGAGTAGAGGGGCAGGATGGTGGAGCAGTCCGGGAGGTTCTGCAGGCAGTTCCAGCCCAGGATGGGCAAGGCGCCCAGCGAAAAGGCAATGAGCCAGCACATCCCGATCAGAAGGAAGACCCGGTGCTTCTTGTTGGCATCATAGGGCCTCATCTTGATCATGGTCAAGTGCCGCTCTATGGCAATGGCCAGCAAGCTGCAGGTGGATGCCCCGAGGGCCACAAACATACTGCCCTCCCTGATGAACCAGACCGTCAGGGACAGGCTGAACGTCTTCTTGCCGGACATCAGAATGTTGACCTGGTAGACTATGCCAGCCAGCAGGTCGCACAGAGCCAGGTTGCCGATGAAAAAGTACATGCGGTTGTGAAATCTATTGTTTTTCCAGATGGCGATCAAAACCATCAGGTTCTCTAAGACGATGAAGCTGCAGACGACCAAGAAGAAGATGGTGGTGAGCGTGCTGCCACCCTGAGAGGGGTCCTTCAGCCTGCCCTCCAGCTTCCCCACGTAGTTGTAATGTACCTGCAGAGTCTCATTCCCGGAGGCCGCCTGGGGACCCGGAGGGAGCACGGTGGCCATCGCTGGGCATCGACAGGCGGTTACCTCCACAATCCACCAGGGGGCGCTCGGGGAGCGTTCATCTCCAGAGCCCAGCAGGACGGCGGCTGGCCGCGGCTTCAGGAAGGGGTGCAGGCGGGAGTCCAGGAAGAAGGTCGCACACCGCCTCCTGCAACAGGATGAAAGGAGAGAGCCCGGGATGAAGCGACGGATCACCACCTGAGGAACCTCCGCGAGGAAAATGCGGAGGCCTTTGGACAGCTGGCCTGGTCAGGGCTGCAGAGGGTTTGGAAACCCAGGCCAAGTTTCTAAGTGGTGGAGGGAAAGCGCTTCGGGGTCTGGAGCTACCAAGGTGCAAAATGCAGTCATGTGGCCCGACCGTCCCAAATAAAGGTTCCACTTGAAAACTTCCAAGCACCAGGAGATGCCACCCTGTCGGTCTTTCTCTACCACATGGGAGTTACCTGGAGGGATTCAAGATTCCCTCAGAACTAAACAAAACAACAAAACCCTAAAACACAACAACAACAAACACAACCAACCAAATCCACACACACACACACACACACACACACACAAAAGGGACCACAGGATGGAATCCAGAATGACGGACGCCTGCCCCGTTTTCAAGACCTCTCAGATGAGACTTGGAGTGACGTGGTGGGGAGCACTGATGTGTCCTTGGAAAGCTTGCCCTGGGGTCTGGTGGGGGGGATTGGGTGTGCCTGGCAGAGGGTCCTGAGGCCTGACCACCATGCAGTCCCCACAGGAAGAACAGCTGAGGGCAGGGTGTGGACCAGGCAGCCGCGTGCACCTGTGTTCAAAGCTTGGCGAGGAAGGAGCTCGAACCTGCCAACCTGGGCTGGTGCTGAGGTTAAGGGAAGAAGGACCAGCAAGAGGAGCCCTGCAGGCTTTGAGGTGTTCSACACGCAGAGGCCTGGGCTGGGGGTGTAGCTCAGTGCGAGGGGGTGCACGGAGCATGCTTGAGGCCCTCTGTTCCATCCCCAGCACCTCCAGGGGAAAAAAGAAATCAGAGGCCTGAATGCGAAGCAGAACTACATCAGTGCTTGTGAGCCAGAAGAAACGGCGTATCTGAGAGCACTGTGGGGTCACCCAGGCACAAATCCAGGCACGGGCCCTTGAGGGGTTCCGGATTTTAATACTTCCTCCACTGAATCCTGACCAGTGGTCATCTTGATGGGCATCCTGTGTAGTGACCACGATGCAGACCCAACTATCAAAGCAGAAATGGCTTTCAGTAGAATTATTTTTTTAAGTTGTAATTGACTCATAGTAACTGCACATCTGTAGGGGGTACAGTGTGACGATTTGATCCTCCACGTGGACAACACGTCATGATCTAATCAGGGTAGTTGGCATTTCCTTCTCCCTAAAAATTTGTCATTTTTCCGTGTTGGGGAGTTTTGAATTCCTCTCTTTTAGTTCTTTATAAAATATGTATTGAATAGCTGTAAGCTGTAGACACTTACTGTGCTGTAGAACCCTGGAACTTATTTCTGTATCCAACTATAACTTTGTGCACATGATCCAGCCTCCTGTGGCCTGCTCCCCTTCCCAGCCTGTAGTCATCACTGTTCTACTCTCAGCTTCTATGAAATCYGCATTTTAGCTTCTGCATACGTGTGAGGTCCCGCGACACCTTTCTAGACTCACTGATTTTTAATTCGAATTATTTGAATATTTAAATATCTCATGAAGACCAAATGAGGTTGGTTGAAAATAGCCCGTTATGCGTATCCAGTGAAGATGCTTTACTCTCCTGGTGTTGAAGCCGCAGACTTACATCTGGTTCAGGGAAGCTTGGATCTCTCGGCAACAATATGGGGCATTGCATTTTGGGGTCCAGTGTACTGTGAAGGTCTCACTCACCATGAGTTCCTTCCTGTGTGTGAATCCAGGCCCTGTGAGGGCCTCAGTCCCTTGAAGGGTGCAGGAGCTTGCACTGAGGCTGCCTTGTGGGGCTGAGAAGCCAAGGTAGCTTTAAGATGTCTCCACACCCTAGTGACCCTCCAGGCACACAATCTGTCCAAGCCCTCGCCTCCCTACGTGATGGTGGAAGTCAGATTTTCCCAGATGGGCAGAGAGGGTTCACGACCTCTTCACAGAGGTTTCCTCCAGTGTGCTGMAGCCTGAAGGGGTTGGTTGTTCTGGAAGCCCCAGGCTGTCTGAGCTGACGTGGTGCTCTGCCTGGAACTGCTGGGCCCCTCCCCCATGAGCTCCGTCTGGGATCGCAGAGGGCTTGGGTCAAGGTCGGCTCCAATGCCACAAGACGGCAGCAGCCTTTGTATGTTGGCCAAAGCCCTCTGCTGACTTCAGAAAGGAAAGCGCCCAGCTCTGGAGTTGGGTTGACGATGAAGGACAGGAGGGGTGGCCTATCCAGGTCTCTCGTGTCACTCATTAACCCACCCCCAGGGCTGTCTCATCCAGCCCTGCTCCCCAGCCAGCCAGGRCCTTGGGGTTCTCCTGGAGGCAGACAGAGCCCCTCGGTGGGTAGTGTTCCCATAGCCCCCAACCCTGATGTTTATTCAAATCTTGTCTGTCCTTCAAGCCCCGAGTCACATTCTACCTGCTCTGTATGAACTTGACCCGAGGTTGCATATCACTTTTTAAAAGTTGCCAGCAATCTTTCRAAGAGCAGAGATGATAAAAAGCAGCTGAATTTTTCTGAGCAGTTCAAACCCATGGACACCCGGACGCTTTGCCTGGATGACCTTATATCCGGTGTCTTTCCCAGCATCTTGGACATGATCAGGTGCTCAGCAGAGGCTTGTGCCCTTTATGTCTGCTTGTCTAGTTGTTTCTTTACCTGAGAGAGTGACCGGAGGATACACTCCCCACTCTGCATGGTGAGGGGAACGGGCCCTGGCACCGTGTCCTGTGGATGCTGGGCCCAAGCCATCCCCACGCGGCTGCTGAATGGATCCTCGGGACCTTGCCATGTCCCACCCACCTCCCCTCCAGGCTACCAGTTGTGCTGTCCAAGACACCTCCACATCCAGGTTTATCTCAAAATGTCCCTGGGCAATCCGCACCACCACCACCAGGGTTTTCTGCCTCAGAAAATGACACACTGAGACAAACCCTGGTTCTCAAGGCAGGTAATGCAGGGAGGTCTTGATAATTCAGTCTGTTTTGGAGCTAACTCCTCTTGTCTCCTGTGTTGCGGTTTCCTCCACCATCACCCCACACCTCATTCTATACACCTCAATGCTCCCTTGAAAGTGTTGCACACTTTGGATTTTGCCTTGAAGTGTGTGTGTGTGTGGGGGGGAGGGAAACGAGTTCCTTCAAAATGGCCAAATCTGGAGACAGAACAATACACAACACTATGCAAGCTCACATTTTTTCCTCTCCCTTCCCCTGGGTAAGACTGCACAGAACAACAGAAAAACAAAACGAAAACAATAAAGACGAGCAASCAGCCATCCAATGACCACAGTAAAACTAGCAGAAGATGTGACAGAGACCCACAAGAAGACCATGACTCGAGGGTGAACACGCTTTCCCATCAATGCTGGATTTATCATTTCCCTTAAYTAAACATTCATCACTCACAGAGTATATTTTTGCAGGATGTCTTTTGTGAAATACGATTCTCTGCATTTGCATAACTGGAAGATATCAGTCTCTCTGTGGAATCTAAAAAGCTTATTTTCTCTGGGTTATCAGCATTTACAAAGCTAGCCCCATCCTGAGAGCTAAGTGCTGGGCTAAAAGCCAAAAGGCCATATTGGTTTTGGCTCTGCCTAAACACTGTTGCGAATGGTCAGAAGCATATCATGAGCAAGTTCTTCCCATGACTCCTAAAGGGTGCTAGCCACAAACCTCAAGTTTGTCAGACGACAGCTCTGTCCCCAGCAAGCTCAGCTCAGTCCTCCCACTATTGGAGCGCTGGGTAGTCAATCTGTCCCCCTCCACACAGAGACACAATCTAAATACCATGAGATCAGCACCCTGAACAGCCCCAGGTGAGACCYAGCCCCTCAGGCTACCTAGTGCCCCTCCTGGTCACTAGCCTCCAGGGTGACCACACTCTTGGGCTTGTCATCCTGTGGTGAGTTTCACCTGTTTCTGCCCCTCACATAAATGATCCCCACAGGACATGAAGGTGCGTGACACATTTCTCTCACCAGGATGCTCATGGGAATCATGCGGAGGGGGGGGGGCGCGGCCAGTCCTGACTGCTCTCATCCATCACATGGACAGACATGTCACCCTCTCCTCAATCTCGTTTGTGATTCCTCCACGGCCCACATGCTGTTTGTCATCGGGCTTGAGAGAGGGTGTTCTCCGGGTGGACACACGCCTGTGCTTCTGTGGGCTACCCCTGCTTTCTGAGGGGCACGCTGGTGTCTGAGATGAACTTCTGCCACGACTCAGGGGTGCTGGGCTTCCTGGAGGTTAGCGCTGACGGCAGCTCGTCCCCACCCACCCCCATCCTGCAAGATGGAACCAGGACGGGAAGCCAGGTTGGCCTTCATCTCCAGGGCAAAACCCACACAGAATGGAGCCTCGCGTTCTGTTTTAAGTTAGAGGCTAACTGTCCAGAGCTGGCAGTGACATGTTGGCTGCTGTTTAATTTCCACCCCAAACACTTAAAAAGACAGCCTAGTGCTGAGAAATGAAAGTATGGGGCAGGCAAGTTCAGTGCAGAATCGGAAAGCGGTGGCACGTGGCAGAAGTACAGACGGACGAGCCGCAGGGTCTCCAGCCAGCCACAGTGTCCTGCCTGAAGCTCACCAGCACAGAACACTCCGTTCTGAGTCCTGCCCCGACCAGCCCTCCCTGGCCACCCTGGCAGCCCCTCACTCCTGCTCCCTCCCCGGCTCTGCCAGGGACTCAGGTTTTCATGGTCTGTGTCTGCTCTCCTCCCCGCCTGCCCCTGACCGGATTTTCAGTCACTGCCTGTGTCAGGAGAGCCTCTGCTCACCCCCCACTTCTCCTAGGACTGTTTCCTAACAGCTTTCCCTTGGCCTCATGGACCTGGGATCACCGGCTTACCCCAAGGCATTTTAAACACCAACATGTTCACTCTTTTGCCCAGAAGAAATAGGACACCTTCTAGAAGCTGATTCCATGGCGGATGACCCCAAGTTAGACCCCGCCAACGTTAACCGTGGCTACCTTCCCCCACTCCCACAGGAGCATCTCCTGGGGGAGGTGAGCCTGGGAGAGGGGGCCAGATGGATTCCAGATGTGCTTTCTACTCTAGCCATTCACTTTCTCCACATGTCAGTTTGAAAAATAAACAAACTATAAAAAGAAGGGAAAGGAAAAAAAGAAAGAAGGCTAATATTTCTCCCAAGTCTAGCACGCCTCCACCCCTCCCCCTCCCCCCACACATAAAAGGAAAGCACAGAAGATAGGAAGACATTTCCCTGGTCACATGCAAGATGCTGTGTTTTTAAAAGGAACATTCTCCTGGGAAAGTCCACCACTCAGTCCCCCAAACTGAATGGAAGCACCCAAGATTTGCCAACGAGCAACATTTCTTGAAAAGCAAGAATTTCCCTTTTTTCTTTTCATTTTAAAGAATTCAGAAAGGAAATAATGAGCTGGCCTTTTCACGGCTCCAGCGAAATTCCTTTGCTAATGAGTCTTTTCCCTTGCTCTGGTTTTCTTGGGTGACCTCATGCGGCCTCCAGATAGTTCATGGAAAAATGCAAGCTTTACACATGGTCTCACGTGCCTGACGCTTTGATCTAGGCCCTCTAATGAAGCTCCCTGGGAGATACCAACCGCCACAGTCACACCAGGAAAAGGTTTGGCATCTTTTCCCACTTTTCTTCTTCAAAGCATGGAGCTGGATTCACTTTCCTGGTGGAGATTCTTGCTTTCTGGTGGTTTCTCCTTAGACCAATCTTTAGCAAACCAGGCTGGGATGCTTTTACAAATCTGGGCAGAGTCCAGGACCCCTGGACAGGGGGACTGTGTCCAAGGAACCTCGGGTACTGGCCCCACACAGGCACCCTGTGAACACCCTCCTAGGCTTCCAGACTGGTCCAGGGGAGGCAATTGAATCTGCTCCCTTTTGCTTTCTAACCAATCTTTTCAAACGGTTTCTGCTCTTGTTCTCAAGAGCACAGGATTGGATCACTACTAAGATTTCCACAAAATGAATGTAGAGGTGTGGAAACAGGCTCGGTGAGGAAGCCAAAGGCAAATTCACACAAGCGGTGTCCTGCCCAAGAAGTCCACCTGTGGTCCATTCTGTGCCAAGGCTAGACACACAGTACCATTTGCTGTCTGAGGGTGCACAATAGGAAACGARAGTTGGGGGAGGAGCCATTTGCCCTAGGTCACAGAGTCTGGCTGGGCTGGATGTCCTTGTCATCTGGTTCCCATGCACGCCATCAGGGATAGGCTCTTTGGGAGGCTGTCACCTTGCCACATGTCCTTCTACTAGGAGGTGATAAGAATTTTCCCAGTATGCTTTACAGCCGAATTGCCTAGCTACTGTGCTGGCAAAATATTGGAATGATACTCTGGGGACTTTACTGAAATATTTAGAAAATTCTGAAGCCAGGAAAATGGAGAAGTATGTTCAAGACCCAAAAGCTGGCTGAGGACCTGACTCGAGGACACTGTGCTTGACCATACCAGCAGCATGCTTGCTGACAGGACAAAACCCACCCACTGGACGTCACACTCCAGACCCCAAAATGTTTTCACCTAACAGGCCTATTGCCTTGTTGCGTTGAAGCAGCTTCCGTTCCTCAAAAATAGAATGCAAAAACAAACAAACAAACAAACAAACAAACCAGAAAACAGGAGACTTTATGCCCAGGAGCTGTGATAAAAGCCACCGTTGAAATGAATTATTAACTGAAACTATTTTTCCTCAAAACATTATCTCCCAAAGTCTTCTGGAAAATCTCTTAAGGTATTTAATTGAACAGAAAATGCACGACACAGGAATAATATAAATGGTTCCGAAAGTGATAAAGAGGACTTATAAAGCCAGATGTGAAGACTAGAGGGGCATGGTAACCTACAGCACCACAGTTCCAGCTAGCTCTGTGAACAGTTGGCTGAGAGGTTATCTTCAGGCTTTGGCAGAAAAAAAAAGTGTTGTACAATAGGGAAACCCCCAATTTTTCCAGATTGGGATGTGCCCAAATTCTCATTATTGAGAATATAAATATACTGTGGATATTGAGGAAGATGGAAGAGATACCATGGAAATAATTCAGCGTCATGATTTCCAGAAAGAGGGAAATCAGTCTCTAAATTTTGAGGAATCAGGTCACTAAGAGTAGACGTAAAGCTTCTCCTACAGGAAATGAGAGTTTCTAGCATCCAAATATGGTAGAAAATTAGGACTGTCCTGAACTTAAAAAAAAATCACAACTGTTATAAGGAAAATGGCATTTTCAAAGCTCCAAACTGGTTTTGACTCCATTCTCTCTTATATCTTAGGTGGTAGCCCTAAAGGGCTGGCTTTGAAGGGTAGATAGATGTCTGGTGTCAGAAAACAGGAATGACTTTGGTAGGGCCCATGTGAACAGTTGTGGGTTTGTGGATTTAAAACACCCAATGTGCAGTTCTTCCATGGCAACACAATAATTCATCTGAACATTGAGCTCTGTATCAGTTAAAATCTGGTCACTTCCACGACCCAAGCAGAGCATGTGCACACATACATCCCCCCACCCGCCACCTACCACTCAGATAAAAACCAGCCCTGGTCATTGAGGAGCAGAACAACAGCCTCCCCTATACTTTCTAGGAATTATAGTTTCCTTAACCCTGCCTGCAAGATTCGCATCTATGAAGAAAAGAATAAAAGAATATTGAAAAAAAATAAATCACACCCATGTGATTATGTAAAACATCRGATAATTTTACTGTTCAGATTTGAGAAAGCAACCCAATTCTGGAAGTCTCCGAGTTCTGGCCAGGGGCACGAGACACAGGATGGAAGAATCCTCTGTTCATGCTGCTGCCTTTTCTTTTCTGCAGTGTTCAAATCAAAGTGTGTTCCCTTTAAAAATCCAACAAGGAGTCCCTCTCTTACATCTAAATATAAAATCGCCACAAGGAAATATGCCATTGGGAGTGTCCAAAGCCAGAGAGAGAGAGAGACAGAGGCAACAGAAAGATAGATTGAGACAGAGACCCTTGTGAGACGGGTCTCTTCCCAGGCTGCACCTCAATTATGAAACGAACCGTGCCCATCTCCTGCTGGGAACTTGGTGATTGTGTTGAGGGGACTTGGACTTCCAGCTCCCATCTTGACAGCCTTCACTGACTTGTCAGAGATATGTTAGGAAAACTGGAATGTGGTCACCAACTAATGGTCACCTAAAATAATGATTTTTTTCCAGGCGCAGAAACCCAATCCTCCTCCACCCTCAGGGTCCTCAGGGTCTTCCTTGGAGGAGGCCACCGAACATTTTTAATTGCCCAAGGAAAATCATAAAGGAACTTCAAGCCACTTCAGTTTCATTCAGTTGATCCCACCCCCGCCCCTCCAAACACACACCAGATCAGCTTTTTTTAAACGGGTCCCAGGGTAGTTCACAAGGAATCGCCCTCTCGGCCCCTTCCTGGCTCGGTCACTGGGGTGGATGGCGGRGAGGCGGGATGCTGATGTGGAGCGCTCTGGCGGTGAGTGAACTCCGCGTCCAGGTCACCGCGGCACCCAGGGCCGGCTGCGACTTTGTCCCCAAAGTGGGCCCCATGGATCCCCCAGGCCACCCCACCCGGGTCCGMGTCCACGAGTCCCCAGGACCAGGACCGTCCGCTCACCTCCGTCTGGAAGGGGCACTGGCCCCCCGGCATCCTGGCGGGTGGGTGCGGCGGCGACCCAGGCGCCCCTTCCTCCGCTCAGATACGRGTTTAGGGGGTCGGGAGGTCGCTCCTGCCCCGGCGTTTGGCTTGAGCTCGTCCTGCCAACTCGCTCAGGGCCGGGTCGCTGTCGCCTGTCCCTGGATCTGGCTGGCTCAGTCTCTGCTCCAGAGAGTCCGAGCACAAACTTTTCCAGCGGCCCGCGGGGGCGGGGCCCCGCAGAGCCCGCCCCCCGCCCCACCCTCCCCCCGCAGAGCCCGCCCCCGCCCCCCCTGCCCGCCTGGCCTCAAAGTGGCGCCAGCCCCCGCAATCCGGCCCCTCGGACCGGAGCAGGGGCTCGTCACCCAGTCTGGACGCCCTCCTGCCCCATGCCTCAGTCCTCTGGGGGCGCCGCGGACCCCCAGGTCCTGGGCCCAGACCGGTCCCCACACCTGGCGTCCTCCCCGCGAGTTCCACGGGCGCCCCGGGACCCAGCGGGGACAGATGATCTAAGTGGATCTGCGCGCTGGGCCCGGCCCCTGTCCGGCGAGAGCTGAGAGCGAGGGTTCGGACTGATGCTGCGGTCGATTATTCCATTATAAATATTGTTATTGCTATTATGAGTCATGTGGTTATTATTGTCCTGATGGTCACCGTTTCCGTCTGAAATTGACTCTCCGCAGGCTTGAACTTGTAGGTGAGCCTCTGGCAGGATTTTCTTTTGGATTTCTTCCCTCCCTGCCCTTCTCCCCTCCTTCTCTGCCCTCCTCCCCTCCGGTGCGGGGGGGGGGGTCTCCGCCCTCCCTCCTACCCCTCTGACTGCCAGAACCCAGCTCCTCGGGCGAAYGCGCTCCCGGCTGCGGTTCCGGCGCCGCGCGCCCACCCTGGGTCCACCCTTGGTCCAGCAAATAGACCGGCAGCAGGAGGATGACAGCTGAAGCCCCCCATCTCCCCCCAAACTAGCTATGCTGTACCCCGAACTGCGGCCAGGATCTTCTCCCTGTGCGTGGAGAACAGAGGTCATCCCGGTGAAGTCTTTAAACAGAAAGACCCCCTGCAGGGAATGGCCAAATTGTCCATTAAACGCGAAGAACAGAGACTTCAATGGCCTGAATAGGGAAACCATCCTAGAAGCTTTGGGGAGGAGGGAGAGGGGGAGACACAAAGGCAGGAGGAACTCAAGAGCTGTTATTCAAATCAAGACTGTAAATTCCTGGGCAGACAGAGTTGAGCCCCTAGAGAGAGTTTAGGGTGTTGGTGTCAAGAGCTCCGGGGACATTTTCACGTTTGTCCTTTTACCTCCTGAGGCTGAGTCCGATGCATCCTTCCCTTGGAACAGGGAGCATATGATTCTTAGGGGTGCATTTGCATGTTAGGGCAACAGGGTAGAAGTTGGCCAGCACCTCTCCCCGTTCTGTCACCTGGTGAGAAATGCAAGCCCTCGGGGACATGAACCCTGCCCAGGCAAGGCTGCAGGGCTCTGCTTACCCTAGGACTCACTGGTAAGGTGGGCCCCTGAGCTGGGAGACCAGCTCAGTGTTTTCACACCGTCTAATTTGCCTAGCCTACCAAATTTGCTCACCAATTTGCTTTCAGAGTGCTGAAAAAAMCAATTTCTGACTCCAACTGCAAGTGGGACCAAATGTGTTTCCATTTGTTTGACTCCTACAGCATCAAGTCAAGAAAAGGAGAGGAGGGAATGTGTTTCATGGAYCTTTGCCATATCTGGTAACAATAAACAGCCTAGCCACTAAATCTACAGCACACACACACACACACAAAAAAACGTCCATCAGTTCATTAACAAGTGTATTGAGTTACTTCCCACTATGTAAAATTCACTGCTGGGGTGCTGGCTGAACTTTGACCAGCACCCATGTCTTCATTCACAGAGAAAATCATGCTGGGCATTCATGAGTTTTGCTGAGGCCRCCAAAACCAATCTTGGGATGGACTCCAGCAGTCCTGAGGATAAAGTGGGACTCTTGATTCTCCACTGAAGATTTCCATAAGAAAGACACAGGGATTTAGCCCATAGCATCTCACTAAGGGGTCCCTACAACTCCTCTTTCAATTAAGTTTCTTTTCCCCAAAGATGCCTAGTTTGGAGAAGCTCTCCCCACACACAGGCCTCTCATCATCAAGTGCCTCATCTTATCCCTGGACTTTAAGACCCAGACACTGGTGCCTGACAATAGGGCACTCTGTGCCCCTGGAGACCCTGGAGAGGGGCTTCTCTCACTCCTTCTCTGGGGAGAATATTTCTCCCTACAATTCTGCATCCCTRGTTGGTGAGAAAAGCAATTTAACAGAGGGATACCGGTTTCTAGGTATGAGAAGGAAGAGGGGGGAATTAGGAAATCCTCATTCTGCAACCCTGGATGAAATAATTGAGTCAGACAGGGTGTGCCAGTAGGTGTGGTGTAGTACCGTAGGTGAAAGTGTGCAGGCAATCCGGTTAATCACCCAGTGCTCATTGGAGGAGAATAAAAGGCTTTTCCACTTTCCACAGAGCCATTTGGTGGTTGGGATGGTTAATGTTATGTATCAACTTGACTGGGCCATGAGGTGCCCAGATATTCAGTCAAGCATTATTCTGAGCATGTCTGTGAAGGTGATTTTGGATGAAATGAACATCTGAATCTGTAAACTGAGTAAAGTTGATGGCCCTCCTCAGTGTAGGTGGCCCTTTTCCAATCTGTTGAAGGCCTGAATGTATTTTTTTTTAAGACAAAAGGCCAACACTGTCCCTTGTTAGAGTCCGTCTTCAGACTGCTTCCACAATAGTGTAGATGGCCTCCGAATTGAGCTGGGGCATCAGCTCTATGGATTGTGGATTTGTCAGCCTCCATAATTGTGTGAGCCAGTCCCTCATGGTAGATCTGTGTGTGCCGTGTGTGTGTGTGTGTGTGTGTGTGTGTGTGTGTACATCTCCTCTTGGTTCTATTTCTTTGGGGAGCCCCAACTTATGGTATGGTGGCCCCAGAAAAATCTTTTCACAGGTAGGGCTACGATGGTGGAAAGGAGCCCTGAGTAGTGTGGGTGACTCAGGCCTTGTGGTCACTCTGTCTGCAAGGTGACAGACAAGCCAACGCTGCTTCCTCTCTGCTGCCTGGCTCCACATGCAATAGCTTTAGAATATTGACCCTGGTGTGGATTTGCAGAATGAAGCTTCGCCTTTTGTACAGTGACCTTGTCTGGACCCAAAGGAAGTCTTTGACTCACTGCTAAMGTCCTTCAAAGAGGAGTGTTCACTCAGTGACAGAGGTGTCACCCAGAGCTGAGTGACCACACAGCTCATCCCCATCATCATACTCCTCCTCCTCCCCCACACACCCCGCGGCTTCCATCCTGGAAGTCAGCCCRAGCCATCAAGATGCCAGGAACTATCCTTTCTGAATTTCACAATTTACAAGAATGTTTCCAGCATTTAGAAACATAATGAGTGTGTATGTGGTATGTGTGGTATGTGTGTGATATGTAAGTGATGTGTAGGTGTATGTGGTGTGCGTGTCTGTGATGTGAGGTGTGTGTATGTGTGTGGTCTGCAAGTTTACGTGATGTGTGTGAGGTGTGTGGTAGGTGTATGCACATTCTTAGTGTGAGCATGTGTGGTACACGTATAGTACATGGTGTATGCATGTGTGAAAGGTATGTGTGGTGTGTGTCTGTGTATGTGCATATCATGTGTGTGTGGTATGTATGGTGTGTGTACTTGTGTGATGTGTGGTGTGGTGTGTGTGATGTGTGTGTGTGGTATATGGTGTGGTGAGTGTGTGTATGATTGTGGAGTGTGCGGGGTGTGTGTGCAGGAGAGGCAGGGATTGCATCTGACCCCTCAAGGAAGAGACACACCAGGACTCTGGGGTATATTAAGGAATAAATATTTGGCCTTTGGGGTTCCTGTGGCAGAGCCCTGAGTCCTGGGGACACTCACTGATCGAAGGAGAYGACTGACTGGCTCGGGCCCTATGAGTTTTAGAATGGAGGTGGCCAGAAAAAGTAGATTTGGGATGGGAATTTCAGCACTACCCCTGGATCTCCAGAGAGGGAGCAGGGTGGAGGCAGCTGTCACCAACCACCAGTCACGTGGTCAACCATGCCTAAGTAGGGAGACCTCCTCCCTGCAAACCCCACAGTGGAGTTCAGAGAGCTCCCAAGTGGGTGAGCAGCAACGGGGTCCGAGGAGTGGGGGTGCTCCACCCCCTCCCTCTGCAGCTCTCCACTGAGATGGCCGATGAGGAAGAGTGTCCCCTGTAGTGGACACATTACAACGCAGCACCATTATTCCTGAGTTCTGTTAGTCACCCTGGCAAGTTATGGCACCCGAGGGGACTCGTGGGGATCCCCAGAGGAGCCGTCCTGTGGGCAGACGTGTGCAGCATAGTGTCTGCAGCTGGGGCTGTCTTGTGGGATTGACCCCTTCACCTGGGATCCTTGCTAACCCCAGGGAGTCAGTGTCAGAATAGATGCGGGGACACTCAGCTGGTGTTGAAATGGTGCATTTGCTGTTGGAAACAAGCCCCCAGACCCTCATCAGGAAGGTCCACAAAGATGCTCACTGGCCACAGGGTCTGCGGCCACAGGTGACAAGCCCCTGACAGCCAGTGGGAGGAGGCCCTCCTGGTGCAGCCCTCTCCTCCTCCATTTTCCTCTCCACTGTCCTGCAGGTCCGCCGTGCTGCCCATCACCCCAAACCCTAGAGGGAACTGGCAGGCAGGCACCGCATTGCCAGTCCTCACCTGCATTTATTTCCACATGCCTCTCTGACTTTTCATTTCCTCCTAGACTCCTGGCCTTCCCTGCATGCACTGTCTCTGCCTCCTGGTGTGACTACACCGTGTGGCACCTTTCTGTGGGGTGATTGTGGAATRACCATCATAGCTTTAACCCTGAATACCATTTTATCAGCTATTTCACTGTAGGGATTTCTCATGTTTTTACCTGCAAGAATCCAGCAAGACGCATTTAATGACAGCATTGCCCACGAGGCCCGGACAATCTGATCATCTGTCAGTAGGAGCTGAGGATCTCTGTAGGTATTTTCATCCATGAGATAGATCTGTCTGTGCTCACGTGATAAGATCATTAAGATAGTCTATCAAGGGAAAGATCGAGCGAGGTATGATCCTGTTTCTGTTAACGTGTGTGTAAATCCCTCATAGA